GTGTGAACCAGGAAAGGGGCCTCGGTTCATACATGAGTAGTCGGTGCATTGCAGTGTTATCCACGGAAGTTGTGAGCCTGTGCTGACTAGGAAGAAAGAGGTGTGGCTCCCCACACTTGCTAGCAGGGGCTTTGGAGGAGGACACTGAAGCAGGGCATGGGATGCGGGTTGGAGCTGATTTCAAAGACACAGGAAGCTGAGTGGCTATCCAAGCCTGTCAGCATGAAGAGTTCTTGCCTGGTTGCTGTCTAGTTACCAGCCTGTCACTGATGGTCAGGGAGTTCATATTCCCATCTGACCACCTTGACCACCTCGCTGACATGCATGCTGGAAATGGCAACTTAAGATGGAGTGTGGACAGGGCAATAAAAAGAGTCCCTAGTCTTTCATTTCTGTGGACCCCTACTCCCCTCAGCCTCCATATCTCGCCTCCTCCCCCGGCCTTCACAATGTCATCTTGTCCCTCCACTCCAGTGTGTCATCTCGGGTTCCAGTCATCTACGCAGACGCCATTTTGCTGTCTCCTCGCCCGTTTGGCCTACTGTTGGCCGCCACATATAAATATGACCCCTTGTTGTCCTTCTGTAGTTCCTTGCCAGTTAGGCAGAGTGAAATATGAGCTCCCAAGGTTAGTCCAGCATGGCCAAGACCCATCCCAATGGGCACTCGCCTACCATGACAGCCTCAGCACTCCCCCAGACTCCCTGTGTCCCATTGAGCCTTTGCTGTGCCAGGGACCTGCAGTTCTAGAGTCCTTGTACTCTGCCTGGCCTTCTGGCTTGGGGCTCAGTCTGTCAGCTTAAAGCAATGATGCTCAGAGTCCTGAACTGACTGACCAGTAGGCCCCCAGGTGGTGGCAGCCCCATGGCTCATATACAGAAACTCCCTAGGGACAAGAGCTTGCTGACTATCTTGAGTTTGCATTTGCATACCAAGCATTGTTTTTTTTATTTAGATATTATGCAAAAATCAATAAAAATGGAAGCACTCCATGTAGATACATAATTTACAGTTTAGAGTAAAACTGAAATAAAATGGAGAAAATGTCAACTATCCACACTCAAATTTGGAAATCCTTTTACTCTGATGGCTTGAAGGAGGGACATGGAGACGGATGCAGGGGATACTGGTGCAGAGACCTCCTGTCCTCTAATTCTTCCCTCGACTTTCTGCCTGATGCTGAGAACTCAGGTACTCCAGATGGGTCTTGAGCATACCATTTTTTTTTTTTTTTTGAGTCAATCTTCAGTTCTCTTGTCAGATGGAATGCAATGCATTTTATGTAAAGAATCATTCACGAATAACTTCTTAAATTATTCATAGCTACTAAAAGGTGATGTTTTTGACCTAAAATATCAGGCTCCTAGGATTTGCTAAGACTCCAAATGTTATTCCACTAGAAAGTCTGGACACTGCGAGTCCTATAAGTGCCCCCAACATCCCACTCTTAGAAATGGGTTCTTCCAACTAGAGGAAAAGCTGTAGCTTGGAAGGAACAGTCATGACTGGCAGCTGTTATGATACTTGCATTTTGCTGGTTTATTTAGTTTTGTTTGAGACAGGGACTCTCTGTGTAGCTCTGGCTGTTCTGGAATTCTATATAGATCAGGCTTGCCTCAAACTCACACAGGTCCATCTGTCTCCATCTTGCTTGTGCCACCACATCTGGCTTAATTTTTTTTTAAGAGCAAAAAATTATTTTATACCTAATATGCATAGTGTATGAGATGAAAAGGTTAAGGTGACTGAACCTTACATTGAGCTTTAATAAAGAAATGGCCTTCTGGGATAAAGGAGGGTGTGAAGGCTGTAGAGGGCTTTGGGTGAGGATGTGGGCAGCAAGCAAGGGCTTTTTAGCGATTTGTAATTACATATTATGACTGATTTAGCTTTTAGTCAATTAAATTTATTATGAGGTATCTATGATGCATACACATGCTAGCACTGTATGTACCAATGATTCTTCAGTAAGATGATATTTATATATTGTTTAAATATACATTATGTCCATTAAGCTTGCTACTAAATAAGATTTATATTTATGTAAAACACATTTACATATTTGTTTTGTGCCACTTGGTGGGTGAAGTTTCCTTTGTGAGTTTCTGTGAGATCTTCTGTTTGTTTGTTTAGTGCTGAGAATTAAACCTAGGCCATTGCATACAAAGCAAGCACTACACCACTGAGCTATACCCCCGAGCCCATGCCGCCTCAAAATAACATGCAATATCTTACTAAAGTAAATGGGTTGATCAAGTTGTTTGTAAAGGAATGTACTACCATTATTTTTTTATACAGAATTATAAAATGACTCTTTTTTTTTTAATGGGGGATGTGTGTTGAGACAGGGGCTCTCCACACAGCCCTGGATGTCCTGGAACTCACTATGTAGAAGAGTCTGGCCTTGAATTCCCAGAGACACACCTGCTTCTGCTTCTCAAGTGCTGGGATTAAAAGCCTGGCTATAAAATGTTTTACTAGGGCTGGGCAGTGGTGACAACATGCCATTACTCCCAGCACTAGGGAAGCAGAGGCAGGTGGATCTCTGTCAGTTCAGGCCAGTCTGGTCTACAGAGTGAGTTCTAGGACGGCTCCAAAGCTACAGAGAAACTCTGTCTTGAAAAACAAAACAAAGCAAAACAAAAAAGTTTTAATAGAAAACCCTGAAGTAAGGGAACACACTATGATCATATCCTTACTCTGTAGTCTGCACTTGCTACCCACTATACAATGATGACATTGTGCTTAGTGTTCCATTAAAAATGATGTCGTATCAGAATGCAAATCCTGTAGAACCAGCAAGGTGAGGGTTCTTAAGCATTATGAATGGTTATCTTCTCTTATTTATTTATTTTGTTTTTTTCTGAAACAGGGTTTCTCTGTAGCTTTGGAGGCTGTCCTAGAACTCGCTTGAATGGTTATCTTCCTTGTTAGTTTAATTTGTTATAGGCTAGCTGTGATGCCTGCATGTGTTAGCACAGTTTTGGGGCCAATACTGGACTGGCAGTTGGCCACACTGTCGTGCTGCTATATGTATGTCTGTCGGTATGAGAGCTTACCAAACCAGGACAGCTGCACATTAATCTTTATTCTGATTTATTTTTTCATAGGACTTAACTCTATTCATATATGCTCAGCCATCATAGCCTATTGCTTGCCTAGCAAATTTGTCTGCCTACAATTAGGAGATGTATCTATTTTCTAGGAAAAAAGGAAGGCAGGAAAGAAAGGGAGGAAAGGGGAAATGTAGGGAGAAGGGAGGAGGAGCGGGGAAGGGGAGGGGAAGACCGGAACTGTGTCCTGCCAAACTTCTGGGGAAACTGACCCTCCCACATGGTCAGTGACATAATACATAGATTAAAACATGATTTTTCAGGGGCTAGACAGATTGCTCAGTGGTTAAGAGCATTGACTGCCTTTTAGAAGATTCTCAAGTTCAATTTCCAGCATCACACGGTGCCTCACAATCATCTGTGACTCCAGCTCTAGGAACCTGTCCTCATCCAGCCTCCAAGGGCACCAGGCATGTAGCTGGAGATACAGACAGACAGGCATGAAAAACACCCATACTCAGTGGTAAAATATTTCCTATTTTTTTAAAAAAGAATCAAGAACTGTTCAACTTCAGTGTTCTTAATATTTGAGCCATGTCTCCAGCCTCCTTTTTCTTTTTGAAGATGGGGGACTTGCTATCTTATCTTCTGGGCTCAGCATTCTTTATTCCCAGCTATAGCCACTGCATCTGGCAGCAAGGCCCTCTTCAATGCTCCTTCAGACACCTACAAATGCACAGCTTCCAGTTTCTTCTAGACAACTTACCAGGGTAGTAAGTCAAGGAAGAAAGAGGTTTAGAGCAAGTGCATAGGGGATGGGGGGAGGAGAGATGGCTTGGTGATTAAAACTATATATTGCTCTTCTGGAGGATCTGAGTTTAACTCCCAGTATCTGTGTTAGGCACCTGGAACTCCATATCCATAGGTTCTGATGCCTTTGGCCTATACACACACACACACACACACACACACACACACACACACACACACACACCCCATTAAAAATAAATCCTTTAGTGGGGTGGTAAGGGCACACACCTTTAATCCCAGCAATTGGGAGGCAGAGGCAGATAGATCTCTGTAAGTTCAAGAACAGTCAGTGCTACAATGCTGGGCAGGGTTTGTCAGGTTGAAGAGAGAAAGGAGAGCACCAGTACCTCAGCAGCGGAATAGGACGTGGGACCCAGGTTTCCATCAAAATTAATTTTCCAGGCAGGGCATGGTGGCACATGATTTTAATCCCAGTACTCTGGAGACAGAGGCAGGAGGATCTCTATGAGTTCCAGGCCAGCCTGGTCTACAAAGCAAGTTCCAGTTCCATGCAGGGCTATTACACAGATAAACCCTGACTTGAAAAACCAAAACCCCCAAACAAACAAAAACTAATTTTTCAGAGGCCAAAAGCAGATGGCTCAGTCAAAATCTCACACTAGCCTAACACCCGAGTGCCAAGGCCTGTGAAGGTACCAGAAACTGAGTGACAAAGATACCAAGAGCCATGTCTTCTAAGTCTTTCATCCAAGAGCCCCAAGATGTAACCTGAGTTTATGAAGTTAGCATTTTGGCAGCCTCAGCACAGTGGTGCTAGGGTCCTCTAACAACTGAGTACCAGTTTTCACCATCATAACCTAGACAATGATAACACCTTACACTTTACACATCTCACTCCCAAACGTTAAATCAGCCTGGAAGATAATCTATCATCCCTGGCACACACTGGAGAAGTAAAGATATGGCTGAAGTCACCCAGCAGCAATGGCTCAGTGGACTCTTCAAGGCCACTGTTCTTCCGGTTGCACCTGAAAGTGTACCACAGCCTCAGGCTACAGTCCCTCAGCCCTTGACTGAGAGGTAGATTGCTCATTTGGCCACACGTCTAACACCAGTGTGGACAGATGACTATGGTGGAAAAAAACGAGATGTGCTTAGGAAAGTTGACGCACTTACCTGAATCGCTGGGGCGTTCGATGCAAGCAGCTGGGGTGACAGCAGTGGACTGAGGGCTGTACTCAGGCACAGCTGGATGAGGCCGTGCTCGCCCACGTACCCTCACTCACCCTTAAAGGCAACAGCCACCAGCCTGACCACACTTCCTCTTTCTGGTCAGCCCATGGCAGCCATCCCCTTTCCAGGGAAGCTGCCTACCCTAGGTTTTCTGGAAGCTAGAATCTTCCCAGTGCTTTTCGAGGCTCCAGCAGAGGCCCACAAAGTCTCATCCTGGGGTGGAGGGGGATCTGAGAAAGACCGGGCTCCAGACCCTCCAGTGAAGGGTTCCCATAGGTAAGTCTCACTTGAACATTTCTAGGCATGGTCATGTGGGGCTCAAGAAGACAGACAGGGCCCTGAGTACACCCAGAGATGCATGGTGGGAGACAGATACACCATCACACAAGAGTGCCTCTCGAAACTCAGGAAGTGCTGGTTCAGTTTCTGCTCGGAAAAGGGAAGGAAAAGGCTGCTGGTCTCTAAGAGAGCATGGTGGGGATACTTAGAGTGTAGCCGAGGCTGGCCTTGAACTTGTGATCTTTTCCCCTCCATCTCCCAAGTTCTGACATTACAGGTACATGCCACCACACATGGCCAGTGAACCATTTTGATTGAATTGAGTCATTTCCTACCATGCTGTGACGTAGAATTCCCGATGATGCTCATAGCCTCTGAAAAATTAAAGCTTTCGGTGGGGAAACAAAGAAGCCACTTTGCAGAAGTATCTGCTTATGATGACCAGTCACATCAGTTTGATACAGATGTGTGTGAGGTCACTCTCCAGGGGCGGGGGTGCTATGGCACACTGGATCAATGGCAACCACCAAAGTGACTGGCAAATGTTCCCCCACCTGCTCAGGAGATTCCTGGTGTGTAGCATTTGCCAGTGTTTGAGGTAGGACTGTCCCTATCATGGCCCATTTAAAAATATCAGCATAATATCAAGAGACTTGGAGTTGGGAGGAAAGTGCATATAGGCAGCTCTTCCAAGACTTCTGGGCCAACATCACTGCATTGCTAGAAGCCATTGCTGAGTGCTGCTGTGGGCCAGGACTTCAGTGTTCACACTCCTTATTTCAACAGATCTTCACTTAATTGGATTCTTTCCTTCATTTCTTAGAATCCCAAAGCTTGTGGAGGTTACACCACAGATTGAGCTTTACATGCTGGGGAGGTGAGCTTCAGTTCAGACCTGTACACTTGTTCCTACTACACTCATCTGAAATTTAGTTGCTCAAAAATTGTCCTAAGGTAGACATGGTGGTGCATGCTTGTCATCCCCGTACTGGGGAAGCAGAGACAGGAAGATTGCTGCCAGTTCAAGGTTATTGAGGGCTATGTGGTAAGACCCTGTATCAAAACAAACAAACAAAAACCTTACCTTTTTAAAAGCAAATTTAAAATTACCTTCTGAGAAATGAGATAGTGCTTCTGTGGGTATAGCTTAGCTCAGGCTAAGGGAGCGATGGTCTATGGTTTATGCTCAATTCATCCAGTGTTTTGCATCCTTTGAGGTTCCTAGTTCAGCTGCAGTACTGCAAAGTGTAGACATACTGTGTCCAACAATCTGAAGCAAGTTCAAGCCCTGGGAAGCAGGAGATCAAAATTCTGGGCCCAATTTGTCAGCAGCTTCTGTGTAAACCCCTTCCTTCTGATGGGAGAGGAGATTCTGTAAATATGTTTCTCATACTGGTTTAATGAATAATGCACTGTTGGCCAATAGGAAAGCAAGATAGGTGGGACTAGGAGACGAGGAGGAAAGAGGAAGTAGTAAGGAGGAGTCAAGATGGAGAGACTGGGGAGACAAGATGCTGGCCCCTTTCCCTGGTAAGAAGACCATGTGGAAATATTAGATTAACAGAAATGGGTTAATACTTAAGATAGAGCTAGCCGATAAGAAACAAGTAATGGGACAACAGAATTATATCAAATACAGAGTCTCAGTGTGGTAGTTGGGGCTGGCGCGGTGGCGGGACAAGACTGGCGGTGGGAGGAAAAACCTTACTCCTTACATCCTTCCACCTTAGTTCTATTGTTTGCAAAATCAAAGTTTCCAACAGATGAACATTAAGTGGTTCTAGAGATTCTGCTATGAGAGCTTTCTCCCTACCGTCCAACTTGGCGTTTTGATAAATAAGAATCACACTTATTTAAGATATACAATGTAATGTATGGCTTGGTAAGCACGTGCTTTGTGAGATAATGGCCACACCCAAGCTGATTAACAAATTAAATTTGGATTTACTTTTAAATATTTTATAGTATGTGTGTATCTATGTGAGTGTGCTGCATCTGTGCAGGTGCCCCGAAGGCCAAAAGAGGGGGTCGGCCTCCCCAGAGCTGGAGTTACAATTAGTTGGGAACAACCCTTTGGGGATGCTGGGAAGAGAAGCCAGTTCCTCTGCAAGAGCAGCAGGTGTTTCTAACTGCTGAACCCTCCTGGCAGCCCCCTGCTTGTATTCTGTGTGAGGAAACTTGAAGCAGACTCACTGAATTTCAAGCTGTATGGAAGACTCCCAAACTTTCTATTTTTATTTTATTTTATTGTTTTAGTTCTGGAGTTCCAGCCCAGGGCATTGCTCAGGCCAGGTAAACATTCTACCACTGAGCTGGATCTCAAGCTTTCTTTTTACTTTTTATTTTGAGATAGAGTGCCCAGACTGCTTTGGAACTCCTCGTGAACCAGGCAGGCCTTGAGGAGCCTAGCCTGCTGCCTTAGCCTCAAGCGCACACAAAAGGCCTCAATTTTAATATGTGAACTTTGAGAGTTTACTTTATCAGGCCTGGTGCTGTACAGTACAACGGTTAAAGAATCAGATCAAGTGCCTACCATCGAGAGGCTCTGGGGGCTGGGACATAGCCCAAGATATGGCAACGACGTAGCATATTGAGACGCTGGGTTTAGCCCCTAGCTCAGCAAAAATGAAACAAGAACGACAGCTAAAGAGAAAGCTCTTTAGGGTTCTTAGGAAGGTGAAGACAGCATTATACTGGTGACTTCTGTGTTCACTTTGTGCGGGACTCCGCGCCACAGGGAAGATTTGGAGCCCAGCAGGTCACGGACAGAGCTCATGTTTGCAAAGACATTAGGGATCACAAGCAATGGCTAACAAAGTGATGCCGTTCTTGTGCTGTGGAAGGTGCAGGTGACAGAGCTGAACGGATCCAAGTGGTATCATTTGGTCTAGGTCTTCAAGCATGCCTAGTAGCTCAAGAAGTGGAAACCATGAGGACAAACAAACCCCAAGTGGCACACCAGAAGATCATGTGACTGACCAGGGTGCAGCATATCGGGCAGGTGGGTATCTCTGAGCAGTTTACAGTTCACAGCGGGGCATCTGGACCTACCCATTTCCTTGTCACCTGCCCACGTCCTCTGAGTTCACATCTTGTCTTTATACCACTCAAAGAGACCAGTAAATTCGGATAGACATCTTAGCTTTCTTTTTGTACTTCTGAAATGTCATGGGCGGGTCTCTGAAGTATAAGAAGAGAGGCCCCAAGGGCTCTAGATTAACTGAGAATGGAGAGGTGCCGTGCGCCATCTGGTGGTTATATGTGGTACTTCTAGTCTAAGATACCTGGGCCTTCTGTCATCTCCCAAGGGAGTATTTGAACACATACATGTAAAAGTACAGAATGGGAGACTGATTGTCTGATTGGATGACACCGAGAAGAATTTTGGTTCTTTCCTCATCTCATGATTTTGTGTCTTCTGAAATTATTGATCCTAAAGGCTTTGCTTGTGGAGTACAGTATGGAGAGAAGTCCTCTTGTGAATAGCCTGGAAGATTCATATAATATACTTTGCTACTTTGAACCATAGTGTACAGTAGGGTAACTTCACCAAAAAAAACCTCATTCCATACAAAAATAAAATATTTGATTTAAAAATATTAAATTACAGGGACTGGGGAGCTTGGGAACTCAAGTTCAATATTCAGAACCCATGTAAAAAGTGAGGTATATGTAGTGGTACACATTTGTAATTCCAGCACTGCAGAGGTGGAGACAGGGGGATTCCTGGGACTTCCTAGTCTAATTGATGAGCCTCATGACCCAGTGAGCTATCCTGACTCAAAAGAGGTGGTGGCTACTGGAGAATAACACTCGAGTTTGACTTCTGCACCCATGGGCTTCCTCCCGTGTGCATGCTCCCCCAAGTGCATGCACACGTGTACACACATATATCTACAAGCACAGATGCAAATGAAATGACTCGGAGAAAATATGTGAAATTTCCTTTTAAGATTACTCAAGAGAAGGAGAAGACTTCAAAGGTTGCTACAAAATTAAAAAAAAAAAAAAGCAGAGAAGAAAACATTAATAGACTTTTAGTAGATGGCTTCAGCTATCAGCTTGACACACACCTAGAGTCACCTGGGGAAAGGGATTCGCAGCTGAAGAATTTCCCAGGTGAGACTGGTTTGTGGCCATGTTTTCTTAGTTGCTATTTGATGCAGGAGGGTGCAGCTCACTGTGGGGAGCGCTCTCTTCAGGCGGGTGGGCATGGGTTGTATAAGAAAGGTAACTGAGCAAGCCCGAGGAAGCAAGTGGGTAAGCGCCATTCCTCCATAGTTTCTGCTTTAGTTCCAACCTCCAACTTGAGATCCTGTCTTGGTTTCCCTTGGCAACGCATCTTCTTCCCCAAGTTGCTTTTAGTTATTGTCTTAGTTAATTCTTTGTTGCTGGGACAAAGCACCATGACCAATGCAAGTTAGAACATATTTCCCTGGGGTCTGCTTACAGTTTTGGAGGGCTAGTTCATGACCATCCTGGTGGGAAGCATGGTAGCAGGCGGGCAGGCAGCAGGTGGTCAGGCATGGTGCTGGAGCAGGAGCTGATTGCTAAGATGTTGAGACAACAACCACAAGACAGAGAGAGGGGTGGGGCAGAGAAACTGAGAAGGGCATGGTCTTTTGAAATCTCAAAACCCACCCCCAGTGACATATCCTCCAACAAGGCCATACTTTCTAATCCATCCCCCAAAGTTCCACCAATCTGGAACCAAACATTTGCACACGTGAGTCTATTGAGGCTTTTCTCATTAAAACTAAC